CTGGAACGAGCCTTGTGACGAAGGAAGCTGGCTCTTGCAGCCGGGAGTCGGTTGTCGCATGTGGGACTGGCATCCCGACCAGGGCGACAAAGCAAATTGGACGGGATCATGCCGTGCCTCGCTCAAGGAGGGCAGGGGCGTCTCGCAGTGGACGGAGCATGGCCAGCCCATCGATCGCTTCGAGGGCACCTACCGCAACGGTATCCGCGAGGGCTCCGGCCGCTACTCCTGGAATGGCAGCGACCGGTTCGAGGGGAACTATTCCAATGGTCTTCCCAACGGATACGGGACGGTGACTCTGGCCGGTACGACGCTGTCTGGCGAGTGGCGCAACGGGTGTCTGTCGGTCGGTGACAAGGTCGTCGCCATCGGCGTCCCGCGAGCCAGTTGTCACGCCGAGCCGCAATACGACGCGGAGACGGCCAACCTTCAGTAGGCCGGCTTCGCAGGGTCAGGTCGACGTCAAATAGTGCAGCGCCATTCCGACCAGACCCGACGCCACGATCGGGTAGGCGGGATTGATCTTGGTCCGCCACAGAAGCAGGAAAACGATCAGCGAGATCACACCGAAGAAGACATCGGTGATGGCGCCCTTGCCCATGATGATCGCGCCGGCCAGGACGAGGCCGACGGCCACCGAACCCAGTCCCGCCTGGATCGACGGGCGCCAGCGCCAGGTGGCGAGATGGGTCCACAGCCTGCCGATGAAGAACGTCAGCAGACCGGTCGGCAGGAAGAACGCCACCAGGGCGACCAGTGCCCCCGGGATGTGTCCGACGACCACCCCGATCGAGGCCACCATCATCATGTTGGGGCCGGGGGCGAGCTGTCCCAGGCTGTAGAAATGCAGCAATTCCGGAAAGGTCACCCAGTGATAGGTGTCGACCGTGAGTTCCTTCATCTCGGGGAAGGCGGCCATGCCGCCGCCTACGGTGAGGAGCGAGAGGTAGGCAAAGACGCCCGCGAGGTCCCAGAGGTTCTTCATGGGACGTCCTTGTCGCGCGGGCGGTGCCACCAGATGGCGACGATGCCTGCCACGATCAGCGCATAGGGCACCGGAACCTTGAAGAAAGCGACGGCGACGGCGGTGAGGGCGACGAAGACATAGTCGGCCACGGACTTCAGCGTCTTGGCGCCGAGCTGGACCAGCACGACGACGATCAGTCCGACCGCTCCGGCCGCAATTCCATGCAGGAAAGCCTTGGACCAGGGACCGTCGCCACTGGCGCCGTAGGCGAAGCCCGCGGCGATCATCAGCGACGCTCCCGGCAGGCACATTCCCAGGGTGGCGACGATGGCTCCCATGCCGCCGCGCAGACGGTCCCCCACCGAGGATCGACATGTTGGTGGCGTTGAGGCCGGGCAGGGTCTGGCTGATGGAGAGCAGCTCGACGAAGCTCAGATCGTCGAGCCAGCGCTGGCGCACCACGAGGCCCGTCCTGAGGTAGGCCACGACGCCACCGCCCAGGCTCGTTGCGCCCATCACGAGGAATACCCAGAAGAGCTTGCCGAGCGACGGCGGTGGCACCGGCGGAGAAGTGTCTGCGACGCTCATTCGTGCGCTTGCGGCGGGTTGCCCTTCAGGCCGGTAGACCGGCGCCGGTCTTGGTGGTCGTGAGCGCGAGCCAGTCGGCTGCGACCTGCTGGAGCTCCGAGGAAGAAGCGCTCGCAGTGATTCAGGGCCTTGTGGCTGATGTCGTCGGGGCCGGTGAAGCGTAGCTGGAAGGCGAACTCGCCGACGAAAGCATGATGGTCGCCACGGGCGCGCCACAGGCCGAGATTGGCGCTCGCCGCCGTGTGGTGGCCGAAGTCGAGCAGGCAGATGTCCTGCAGCAGCTCCTCGACGATCGTCTGGTTCACCAGTGAGATGCTGTTCGAGCCGTCGCAGTTCACGGAC